TCAGCGCCGCATGAAACCGCCTTCCACGCAGCCGTGTGGATGCCCTCGTTCTGGACCTGGATGAGTCCCAGCACGTACTCAGCCGATTTCTCGGCGCCTCTTGGAAGAAACACCGAGATGTTTTGCACCCCTCTGTGCATAACACGGGCTCATTTCACCCTTCAATGACAGGTGCCTTTTCTGCCAGCCAAGCTGCGGTCCGCCCATTTTTGCAGTCCACAAGCAGCATGCATCGCAAAAGACCAGTGGGTGCTTCCACCCTTTAAGGACCTCGTCCATGATGGTACCTTGGAGTCTGGTTAAGTCCTCAGGGCATAGGAGCAGCAGCAGGGTAATCACAGGGCGGCATAGCCACCCGGATTCCTGTAAGAGCATCTGAATAGCTAGGCTGCTGAGTGGTTCCTTCCTGTGACCGACCGCGGCCCGCAGACCCATCCACGCCTCTAGACTCTGTCGGAGGGCGTAGGAGGCCCAGCTGCCGTTTGGGGGACGGTGGCTCAGGTGGTGTAACCTGTAATCTGGTGCGTTTTGGTGTAGCTGTTGATGTTGCGGTTAAGGTACCTGTGGGTTTCCCGCTTCTCCACCCAATGGGTCTACAAATAAATCCAAATTTCATATAATGGCAATTTTCAGGAATACAATTATTATCGCTTTTTGGTATCTCAGTAAAGTAAAATTTTCACCAAACTTGAACATATTGACCCCTAACCGCCTAAAAGATGTAAGAAACATTTTTTTTCGAAATTTTGTGCATTCCTGCAATAAAAAAGAAAAAAAATTTCTTTTTGGCGGTTATGAATCGATACGGGTATATAAATTTCGATTACGCCTGAATAAGACTTCTTTACTTGTTTTGTTATTATATTAGTTAAAATTAATTTGAAACCACAGATTTCTACCTGTACTGTACCTTCAGCATCATTCTCCAAAACCTCTTTGGGAAATTTACATACTGTTACTCCCGCAAACGTAGTTGACGGCGAAAATAAGTTTAGGCGTCTTTTTTCGCTGTCAACATATGTTAAGAGCATTTCTTTGATGCAGTTTTCTATGTATATCGTTTTTTAATGTTTTGTTTTCAATAAACACCAGACTCCCTGAGGAAGATGCGAAAAACATCGAAACGCGTATTAGAAAAAGGTACATTGTTTGCTTTTTCTTTAACCGGCCGAAAACCTCCTTAAACTACGCCATAGGAAATTTAAAACTCGCCGTTGAGACATAAAAACTATATTACACATGTTTTTAATTCTTTATTAATTTCTATCGCAAGTGGGAAGTTTTTTGGGAAGTATGTTAACTACATACAAGAATTGTTATATTAGGAAAAGTAGTTAGCAAATCATTAATATCTTGCATGTAATAGATCCATTAGTACAAAATTTTTGTACATGAAAGACGAAATACGTAGCTATCGATTGGCATTATCAAGTTCGGCCTACGAGGAATTTATTTTTTTGCTTCTGGTAGGCTCTTTTCAGGAAATGCCCATTTACATATGGACATATTTACGTACTTAATTACATACACAAATCTTCAATATGCTCGCTACGGAGAATGATCGAGTAACGAGATAACACAGTTTTACGACAATATTAGTGATGAAATATCGTTCTTAAAAACGTCGATGCTCCCACAAACAAACAAGATCGATTTAAAAAAAACATCGGTAAATAAAAAACGATGTACATAAAAAGAATATACCGCAAAAAATAGTTATTTGATGGAATATATCCATTTTTAAATAAATATAAGGAAAAGAAACCTTTATAATCTAGTCCCCAAAAGCTTATTTCTGTCCTGAGAGCAGACAAAGAAGGGGTTTAAAGGTATTTTTCTTAAAACATAAAGAAAAGAAAAAAGTGATCGTAGTGGCATAGAAAAGAAACTGAACTTTTCCTAGATTTGTGGGAAAAACAAGAACAACAAATTTAACAGCTAATAATCCAAACTTTGAGTGTGTATACGGGGTGATAAACAAACGCGCTTTGATCGATTATATTTACTCTACATGGGTGTAGCAAGGTTGGTGCAGGGGGGAGGCCCGAGTTTTTCCCTATACATATGTGTATAATATACATAATAATAATAATAGATTGGAGCTTACACATATGTTAGTGTTTGGACGAGCTTCTCCTCCGATTTGTGGCGTGCGCCTTGATGTTGTCATACAAAGAGGATGGACCTATAGTTTTACGCCGACTTTAATGAGAAGCTGTTTTTCATGGCAGAATTACACTCGGAGGTTTGCCATTGCTTGCCGAGGGGCGACCGCTGTTAAGAAAAAACCTTTTTATTATTACCTCCCTTTTATTAGCTCGGGATGTAACTATGTAATATTGATGCGCCTAAAAGATGCAGCGATTTCTGTTCTCAACTTACATAGCTGATGAAAGTACGAATGGAAATTATAATAGCGAGGTTTTGGTTTTTTAAGCTATAATTTTTTATTTCTAAATTTTTTTGGGATGTTGCTTTGTATAATATATAAATAATAGTACTCTGAAACCCTAGCTAAATAGTTTTGAGCACCCATCCCCACAAACTTACATATGGATGTACATACTTTTACTTAATTACAAATAATAAATACATAAAACTTCACTTAGTCCTCAAAAGCAAAGCAAGTCTAGAAATCTAACCAAGGTCCGATAAAACATATTACCACTTGTCGGAATGAATGAACGGTTTCGATGTTTTTCAATTTTGTCTTCGATGTATCGGCGATATATCGTCCAGAAAAATATCGATGTATCGTTTGCATTCCCAAATATTATACCATGCTGGTTTGTTTTGGTGCACACTTCTTTGTTTTGGTGCACACTGCTTTGTTTTGGTGCGACTATCAACTAAAACATAAAGAACGCTCGGTAGAGGCCTGTTTACTCAGCGATTGTTGTACGGGTGTTGTAATACATACATAGTAGGAATGTTAATCCCGAGATCCCGGACTTTTTTAGGTTCCAAAAATCCCGGGATTTTTGGCGAATAATCCCGGAATTCTCGGGATTGGTAATTTGCACTGATGCCAATAATAGAAACTTCTTTTCTTGACCAGTATTGGCTATAATTCTTTATTTTTATTTAATAACTAATATTTTTTATAAATGTCTAGCTCATTATACATATAACACCGTGCGATAGTAAATTGTACACACAAAAATCAATATATTCGTGAAACCATGGGCCAAGTGTAGTAAAATTGCGTTTTTAGTTTTTCACTCTGCGTCAGTAATTCAGAAATAATTAAAAAATCCAGTGTAATGTGCTTAGAGAAGAAGTATAGGTATCAAATTAAAGAGAAAATTCTGTAGAATTTAGTCATATTCAATTTTTTGGTGCATAAGGCCCAGTAAGTATTGAACATGTCTTTATAAAATTTTATCCTTGAAAGTTGGCAATATTTGTTTTTGCAAAAATTATATGTTAAGGACTTATATAAACTAGATAGCATCCTCGAATTTCGTCCTTCTAACTTTACCAGTTTAAAAAATTACCTAACTCGGTAGGATCTAGCTAAGAAATTTACTGAAAATCATTGAAATCGGACAATAGCCACGCCCACCTCCCATTTAACGGTAATTTACAGAAACACGAAAACTGCGATAAATCAGTAACTACTGAAGCTAATTGACTCAAAATCGATTAGTGCAATGACCACTGAGCATAAAATTAGACTAAATATTATAATAGACTATTATAAATTTTTGGATTTGGGGGCGGCGCCGCCCACTTATGACCACAAATGTGTATCTCGGTAACCGATTTATAAATTTTTCCCAAACTTCGTGTATTTAATAACCTAGGTACGAAAAAGCAATTCGTTGTAAATTATTCAAATCAGACTCAAATTGCACCGGTTTCCCGTATAACGGTAAATTTCGGATATACGACAACCCATATATTTAAATAACTGAGGTCGTAAATTTACTCCAAGTTAATACTTACAACCATGATAAAAACATTACAAGGTTAATTCATTCTCTCAATTCGCCAGCCATGATTTTTTTTCTGACGTTTCTTAGCATTTAAAATCATATAAAATTGAAAATAAAAAAACATGAAAATGTTCACAATTCTTGTTGTTTCAGAGTAAAAATGGGAATGTCTGTGTGAGTTTGAGTTTTGAATTTTTATATTATATTGCTGGCAAACGTCAGACTGCCTCTCAATGGTTTTACCTTGTTATGTTTTTATCATGCTTACAACAATCTCTTAACAATAAATAAAACTGCTATAGACTTTTAGGTAGTTTAAAGAAAGTTGGAACGCCAATAGTTGATACCTGCACCGGGTATATAAAATTCGGTTTCGCTCGAACTTATACTTCTTCACTTATTTTATTCTACATTGCATTGAAATTTTTAAACAATTTTTTGGAATTAATCATATCTTTGAAAGTACTACGTCCTTTAAATAAATCCTGACGTCAGAGAGAAATAATAAAAATGCCACTTTAAATAAAAAAATGGTTTTCAAACCCATTTATTTATTATTTCCCAGTCGGAAAAATAGTAATGCATTATATGCGTAATAAATAATATAATGTATTTCTTATGAGTTCTCGATTATATTACAGCTAACTATGTAATCAGCATTCTAATGTATTCAAAAAGTTCCAAATATTTCATATTAAAACACATTCATTTCTCGATACTAGGTAATGCAAAATTGAATGCCCCACTTTTCTTAGGACAAAATGCATTTTCGAATGTGAAAAGTGCTGTTTTCTGATTATTTTTACACTTACTATACATAACATTTTCCCACTAGGTTATTTTATGGTAGGAGAGCTTCTCAAACAATATAGAAGCAATTTGTTCGATTTACGTTGTTGAAAATTAATGGATTTCTAAATCCCGGAACTAATCCCGGGATTGTGATAATGACATCCCGAAAATCCCGGGATCATAAAAAGCGAAAAAATTAACATTCCTAATACATAGATAACAAGTTCTTTTGGCCTAGTCTCGCTGTTTGTCGGGTATAAAAGCGTGTAGCGCCTAGCTGAAAAGCGTCAGTTGCTCGTGCCCAGAGTAAATGGAAAGATCAAGTGAACAGAAAGTCAGTGGTCTAAGAAGCAAATTAAATTTTGACAAAAAACTTTGGAGAAACATATGAAAATAAAAAACCTTAACTCAAAAAATTGTGATTTATTTTAATAAAAAATTAACAGTTACAAAAGTAGAAAATCGGCAAGTTTTGAAAAATGCCTGATATAATTGAACAACCAAAAGAAACGTAAGTATAAAATTCGTACAATTAACAGAATGTACAATATGCACATTTTCATTTTGTGTCACGTGCATTTTGTTTGCATAGATTTCCCAGGCGAACAGTATTGACTGTTGCATTCAAAGGAATGATGAGTGAAAAAAGGAAAACAATGAATTTGAAGTTCTGAGATTTACTGCAACACTTGAAGCGCTTGCATATACGTACATACATATGTATTTCAATAGGATATTTTAATAAATATTGTCGATCATACATATGCACGTAGATGTTAAATTCTGCAATTTATGTTATAAGAGTAGTCCACTTGCAAACAGCGTTATGTGATTTTGTAATAGTAAGCCATAAATTTAAAAAATCTACTACGACAACAAGTAACATCGAAATTTAATCTTTTTTTATTACCTGAAAATTTGGATAAATAAGAGCCTAATAACATTATAACATAAGACTTATTTGAAACGATTTTTTGAGAATATAGAAAGATTTTGCACTGTGTTATTAGAGGAAATGAAACTACTTTAAATACTGGTACGTTACTCACCAAAAATTGTAAGTGGGCTACTCATATATTCAGTTGAGTAAATGAACACAAAAACAATTAAAAAAAACTATGTGCAACTAGTACACTCACCTACAAATGCTGTAAAAACTAACAGTTCCTGATTCATTCTGACTCTTTATAAAAAGTTTAGATGTAGCTCGTTTTCTGGAAGATTGTTACAATAAAAAACACAATATCTATTAGCTAAGTATACAAGAATGGCCCCTCTTTTATGTTGTTTAAAAAATCATAACGGCATCTGTATATTTAGAAAGTAAGAATGCAAAGTCAAGTTTTTGAATAGCTTTATCCTCTGGATTATATCGAACATGGCATTTTTCGCCACTGGAGNAAATACTGGTACGTTACTCACCAAAAATTATAAGTGGGCTACTCATATATTCAGTTGAGTAAATGAACACAAAAACAATAAAAAAAAAAACTATGTGCAACTAGTACACTCACCTACAAATGCTGTAAAAACTAACAGTTCCTGATTCATTCTGACTCTTTATAAAAAAGTTTAGATGTAGCTCGTTTTCTGGAAGATTGTTATAATAAAAAACACAATATCTATTAGCTAAGTATACAAGAAAGGGGCCATTCTTTGTTGTTTAAAAAATCATAACGACATCTGTATATTTAGAAAGTAAGAATGCAAAGTCAAATTTTTGAATAGCTTTATCCTCTGGATTATATCGAACATGGCATTTTTCGCCACTGGAGGAAAAGGTTTTCTCACATGGACCTATCTAAATGCATTTTGGAAGTAGATTTTTTGTCTGTTTTCTTTTCTTTTGTTTTTTGTTACGAGGCATTTCATGTCACCGTGGCAACCTCTATGCGCGAGCTCTAAGGATTTAGATGAAAGTCGAAGAGATTGAAGTTCTAGGTGACTTGAATATACGTGTAGCATATTTTGCCGATATGACGTAGGGTTGCCTATTTACACGGGACTTAAATTTTAAGAAAACGTCATACATACCTCTCTTTAAAGTGCTGTATCTTGGAAGCGTTTTATTATTTTTATTTCTTCCGTCTTATTATTGGCTTTAATTATAAATTTTTTACATTAATGTGTAACTTATAGCATTTTTTTTATTTTTTTTTACATAAAAATGTTATCTATAGTTGACATTATAAGAGCTCTGAAATCACGAAAATCACGTAAAGTAAAGGAATTTAACTTTGTTGCAAGTTCACATGGGAAATCTGCGACGGATTGGAGGAAATTTTAAGAGACTAGCAGCTAGATCAAGTCTTCAGCTCTCGACGTCACAACAAATTCTTACACCCGAAACACTCTGGGGTAAGATCCTGTGGATTGGTAGTACGCATTTCTAGCCACTACCCCACAGCGGCCGCCTAGAGTCGTAGATGATAGATGAGTAGGGTAAGCACTGCGACCAGTAGGTCTAGAGTGCCTATAGTCTTAACTTCAAAACCAACGATCTTATTACACTTAACAAAAAGAAGAGAACGTTACATAGTACATATGTGTTGGAGGTTTGTTTTTTTTTTGCTTCTCCTGTAATTAATGAAAAACATCAGTTAGTGCATTTCTATATGTATTTTAGCAACGATATGTACATATGTACGTAAATACGTAAATAGGTTTCATCAATTCGAATGGGAAGTGGTTTTGTAACTCACAGATAATTTTCGTTTTGTTTTTCATTTTAGGCCATTTGGCAACTGCACGACACTGCAACGAAATAAGAACCCGCAGACTAGTTGTGGATTGTATAGCCATATTCGTGGCACAAATGTTTCTTACGGCAATGTCTCCAGTCTGGCACCATCAGTCAAGTCCTTCATAGAAGAATCTGTAGCGCTTTGCCAACCTGACGAAGTGCATATTTGCGATGGTTCAGAAATGGAAAATAAAATGCTATTGAGGAAAATGCTAGACGAAGGAACCATTTTTCCTCTTCCCAAGTACGAAAATTGCTGGCTAGCCCGCACCAACCCCGCAGATGTTGCTCGGGTAGAATCGCGTACTCTTATATGTACTGAACAACGAGAGGAAACCATCCCTACGCCGAAGGAAGGTGTACAGGGAACACTGGGTAATTGGATTTCGCCTTCTGACTTTGATCGGGCTATTCAAGAGCGTTTTCCAGGATGCATGAAAGGCCGTACAATGTATGTGGTCCCCTTCAGCATGGGTCCTTTGGCCTCATCATTTTCTAAGATTGGAATTGAAATCACCGACTCAGCCTATGTTGTTGCTTCTATGCGCATAATGGCTCGTGTGGGTACATCCGTTCTAGAGCAAATACGAAAACAGGAGGAATTCGTGCGGGCTTTACACTCAGTAGGTACACCTTCTAGTGGTGTTGTGGAAAATCCTTCGTGGCCTTGTGATCCAGAGCGGACAATCATTTTGCATAAACCTTCTGAAAATTTAATAGTCTCTTACGGTTCTGGATATGGAGGAAATTCCCTACTTGGAAAGAAATGCTTTGCACTGCGAATTGGAAGCACCATCGCTAAACGCGAAGGTTGGTTAGCAGAACATATGCTGATTTTGGGCATTACAAAACCCAATGGCGAGAAGAAATACATTACCGCTGCATTTCCCTCCGCTTGCGGCAAAACTAACTTGGCTATGTTAAATCCCTCGCTTCCTGGTTACAAGGTAGAATGTGTTGGTGACGATATCGCCTGGATGAAATTCGATAATGAAGGTGTTTTACGTGCTATTAACCCAGAAAATGGTTTCTTTGGCGTTGCTCCCGGAACTTCAGAGGAAACGAACCCTATCGCCATGGCAACAATATTCAAAAACACTATTTTTACAAATGTGGCCTACACTTCAGACGGCGGTGTTTACTGGGAAGGCATGGAGAGCAGTCTTGCACCCGGTGTACAAATAACCGATTGGCTTGGTAGACCCTGGACCAAAGAATCAGGCAAACCGGCCGCTCATCCCAATTCTCGCTTTTGTACTCCAGCTGGCCAATGCCCTATTATTGATTCACATTGGGAAGATCCACAAGGTGTTCCAATTAGTGCAATTCTGTTTGGAGGTCGCCGTCCTGCTGGCGTGCCCTTAATATACGAATCTCGCAGTTGGACTCATGGCGTGTTTGTTGGAGCTGCTATGCGCAGCGAATCAACTGCTGCAGCTGAGCATAAGGGTAAAATAATAATGCACGATCCCTTTGCCATGCGTCCGTTCTTTGGGTATAACTTTGGGCACTATGTGCAACATTGGTTAAGTATAGAAAACCAGGGAAAAGTGCCTAAGATTTTCCATGTGAATTGGTTCCGAAAAAGTTCCAATGGAAAGTTACTTTGGCCTGGCTATGGGGAAAATTCGCGTGTTTTAGAATGGGTCTTGCGCAGTTGCAGTGGGGAGCGATGTTACACTGATACTGCCATTGGTAGAATACCGGCCAAGGGTGACCTCAATTTGGATGGTATGCAACAAGTCGATTATGAAGAATTGTTCTCTTTGCCAAAACAATTTTGGTTAGAGGAGGTTTCACAAATACGTAACTACTTTGGAACCCAAATAGGATCAGACCTGCCCTTGGAAATATACAATGAGCTAGATGAGCTGCAGGAGCGTATCTTAAAAAGTTGAGGTGGCATTTTATTAATAATTTATAATTTATTTTAAGTATATGTGAAATGTTGAAGAGTAAAAATAGGAAAAGAGAAGAAATTATAAAAAATATATATATTTATGTATATACATAAGTATGTATGTATATATTTATTTATATGTATCATTTTGTACAAGCAGGGCCATTTATAAAAAAATTTCGAATTTAGATATGCTTAGGAATTAGTTATATGTACATACCATCATGGGCGTAGCCAGAACGAAATTTAGGGGGGCGCCCTATACATTTTTTTTTTTCAAAACCAATAATTATACTAAACAAATTGTTATTATAGCTTAAAATTATTGTAACCAATATGTTGTACACAAACACATAAATAGAAGTTCAAAAAAGTTGATATAAAACTATTCATCGATTTAAATAATTAACTTTTTACTGCGCATGTTTTTTTACGAGGAGTAACCATCGAAAGCCTAACCCCGTCAGTGTGAGACTTTAACCAAAACTAAACCTCCTACGGTCATGTACCGTTCCCCACCGTCAAGTATTTCGTCGGGACAATCTGTGTGACTGCTAAAGTTATAGATCTAATGATGCACAAAAAATATGCATACTTAGAATTTTGAATACCCCCTCACAATCTGGACTTAAGGTATAAAAACGCGTTTTTTATAGTTTGAGCCTTTATTTTTGTTTATCCGATGAAAACTATACACGTACACCGTAACCGCAACCCTCAATACGTGCAACTCCTTGATTAATGCAACTCTCTAAAACAAAACATTATATATTAGAGTCCGACCGATTAATCGGCATCGGCATCGGCATCGGCTAGTAACGGCACAAAATTGAGCATCGCCATCGGCATCGGCATCGGCCTTTTTTCGCCGATTCTTTGCCGATTCTTTGGAATTTCTTTTCAAATGTTCAGGTGAAGCGACAGCCAACTTTAAAAAACATTTGCAGACAGCTCACAAAAATTATTTTTATGGAGAACACTGCCAGCAAAAAAAATTGCCAAAAATTAACGGGATTTTATAGCAGCTTGAAACTTGCACTTCATTATACTATAATGAAATGGTCTACAAAACTGCATACCAATATTCTGATTAAAAAGTTTGAAATTATGGTGAAAATAAGCTGAATTTTTCAAGTTTTTGTACAAAGTTTGAAATCTGAATTTATATGGTGTTTGTTGTATACCAGCTAGACTTTTATAAAAATAAATAATAAACATTAAATAGAAAAGACAAAATCGGTCAAAATATCGCAATTCTTTTATTTTGTGGACCACTATATGTATGTACATACATACGTACCTAGCATATAAGTTCTTCTGCATTGAGTGCAAAAGAGTGTATTTTAGAACAAAACGAAATGAAATTTTATGTTCCTAAATATTTTTTGCTTAGCACCATATAAAAAGGTGTTTTATGTAATGTACATAAATGTGATATATGTACATATATTTTTACACATACATATGTATGTATGTACATACATGTGTATGTAATGTTGTATAACAAGCCAATTAATTAAATTATTTCTTTTATTTTATTTTTTAACTCCGTGAAATGTACTGATTTTATGAATTAATACATTTATTTGTAATTTTTTATGGAATCGGCATCGGCATCGGCCGATTCTTTCCCCATAAGCCGATTAATCGGCATCGGCATCGGTACCTGAAAAAAATTTGGAATCGGTCGGACTCTATTATATATACCTTTATAAGTGCAACTATAAAACAATTTGACCTCAATACCTACAACTTTCTTTGTTTATGCATGTCGCTCACATAAAATTTAAACTTTTTGCATTTCTTTGGTTAACCAGTATTCTAGCAAAACTACAAAGTGGTGTTTCAGTTAAAGTGATGTGTGATGCGCAGGACCAAAGAAAATAAGCAGGAAAAAAGCAAATTTAAGCGCTTAGATAAACATTAAAACATTAGTAGATATGCTTCCAAATATGCTCGAAAAGCAACCAAAAATCTAAATACAGTTTATTGTTTGGTTTTTTTTTCAGTCTATTTCAAGGATTGGACGGAATTCGAAATTTTCATATTTCCAGTAGTGTTAATACATCGGTTTAGTTGTCATATTTTTAGGGTTTAGGGTTGCGTTAAATATTTAACACCAAGCCATAAAATCTGCATCGTTCGTTCGATTTTCAAAAATGAGGTGTCACGTGAAAGGCCTCGTCCTTCGGGTATGCATCGTAGCTTTAGTTCCATGAAAGGAGTTGCCACATGTTAGAAAATCGAATTCAAAATTTCTCTGCCGCAGATGTTTGCGTTAAATATTTAACACCGAGTCATAAAATCTGTATCGTTCGTTGGATTTTCAAAAATAAGGTGTCAAATGAAAGGGCTTAACCTGTAGATGTGTAATATGATTTTAGTTTTATAACGCGTTGCCATATATATGAAAATCAAATTCAAATTATTTATTAAAATAAATAAATATAATATATTAAAAAAGAAATGGTTTTGAATAAAGATGAAGATGAAGATGAAGATGAATATGAAGATTAAGATGAAGATGAAGATGAAGATGAAGATGAAGATGAAGATAAGTAGGCTGTTATGATCGAACTGTAATTTTCGCAGAAGATTTCAACGTCAACTTTTTGCTGGCCGAATCTGATGAACTGACAAAATTTTTTAAAGAAAAATTTCCTCTAGAAATGGTTATTGGTGAAAATGATCGAAAAACCAAAGGAGCGGCTACCATTGAAGCGGGTTCTTCCAAAAATATTAATAATATTTAAATAAAACATTTCATATCTTACTTTAGGTGCCACAATCTACTAGTGGACATTGTAGATATCAGAGTTGTGAAAAATTTATTAAATTTTTTAATGCATAACATTTTAATGTAAATGAAAAGGATTAATGCATTAATTTTTGATATTTAATGTAAATGACAATTTCAATGCATTAATTTCGAAGAAATAATGCTAATGATTTTTTTTGTATTAACATTTAAATGTTTAAATGAATGCTATTGCAATAATTTATTGCATTAAAATTATAACAAGCATTAAAAACCCATTAACTAATTTTATTTTGAAGTAAAAAATCTTTGCTGACATTGAGGGTAGAATTTTAAGGTCAAAAAAGATAATGACGGACGTTAAGGCTAGTTTTCACTATGTCAAGTTCAATGGCATTTGTCGTTAAATAGGTAAAATCACATTGTCAAATGGAACTAAAAAACGGTTTATTGATTGATTTAGATCAGAGTAGGTCCACAGTCGTGTACATGCGCTGCTAAACTGGCTATCTGTCCGTTTTTGGCTCATACTTAATATATGTAATCGGTATGCATCAACAATCAACATAATAATCTACAAAAGCACCCTGCGTTGCATGCACATTGGCTTTCATTTTCATAAAACATCTAACAATGTTTAGAAGAATTTTCTACAAATACACATAATATAATGAAGCTGAAAAAACTATTAGTATCTAATTATTCCAAGTCCTTCCAAAAGCGGTTATTTATATTTTACAAGAAAAAAAAATTAATGGTTTTTAATAATGCAAACGAGCAAAAGTATTAAACATTTTAGTGCATTAAAATTTGGTCATTAGCATTAGCTTGGATAATTTAATGGAAAAAAAATTTCATTAGCATTACATTTTTCAGAATTAATGCATTGAAATATTCATTTGCATTAAATTTCATAAATTAATGCATTAATTTTTTACATTAACATTATTGCTTTAAATACCATTAATGCATTAAATAATTAATGCATTTTTCACAACTCTGGTAGATATGTATGTTTTCTCAAACACAAATAATAATTACACTTTGCAGTTGGTTATAACAAAAAAAATATTAAAAATTTTAAATAAATATGTTTTTTGTATGCTAGAAAATATGTACATGGGTACGTATAATATGTATTCTTTCTTTCTGGCATTTCTGAAAGTAAGTTTCACTTCTTCCGCGCGTAGGGACTACACAATACAATATACCTTAGAAGTGTTACCATTTTATTTGTAGGCATTTATCAAGAATTATGTTTATTCTGTTTAGTCGCCGGAAAGCAAGGACCGCAATCGTTCTGGTGATTAATTTAACGGTGGTAATGTAACTTTGATCCTTGGTGTCTCCGACTGACATCAGTTGACGATTTTTACCAATAACTCGACTCCAGCGCCACTTTTTGTGCAATAGAAGATATTGTCCCTACCTTTACCAATATATTTATGTTTCGAATATGAACCAAATCGGACAATGAGACAAATCGGCCACGCTTACCTTGCCTGGCGGTGATGTCAGTATTTATTTTACCGAGGACATCAACCAAACGGGCAGAGGCATCATCCCTTTTAAGGGTCCGGATACTCCAGGTGCATACCCTCAAATCATAGTCAATCAAAAGAAGGGGGTATCATCCGAGGCATGATTTTTTCATTGGGTACGGTTTGGTCGCTACCCAGGGGATACGTAAGCAAACAAATCACTTCCGGCCACTCCCAAGTGATTGCCAAAAGCTTTGCAGTACTGGGAAATTTACAGAACATAGTGGTCAAAGGCAAATATCTCAACTAAAACCTAATGTATTTTCTAAATTCATAGCTCTACATACTTGTATACCAAATAGACGGACAAGACGTTATTGTAAATAAAAAATAAAAATAAATAAATTTTCCGTATACTACAGGGTCAGGATCTGGAGTATTTTTTCGAAGTTAATAGGGATAAGCTTCACTTTTACTTTAGGGGAATATGCTTCGGTCTTCCAGTCTGAGTATTTGCAATCCCCAAAGCCATAGACTATGTGGTGGAAAATAGGTGAAGGGGAAGCCCAAGCTGCAGTTAAGGTATTGGCCAGCCCTTTATCTAAGTACTTTTAAACTAAATAGTTCGGCAATGCAAGTCTCGACTAAATTATGTTGGTAAATATAACGATCTTGCTTTAGTCTGGATGCCGGGCAACTCAGGAGTGCCTGGAAATGAGACATCTGACCATTTGGCCACAGTTGGCTTAGACCCCTATCCGCAACCAGTTATAGCACTCCTCACTTCGGTCATCGAAGCCACCATCAGAAACTGGGTGGATACTTCGCTCAGCAATGACTGGGAGCCATCGAGTGGATGCAGGTGGGCAAAACTCATGTGCCTTCAATCTCAGA